TAGGTAGTAGCTATTTGGTTCTGTGGAGCAACGCAAGCTCAGCTGTATAGTAATACCACTTTATGGCATGACGTAAGTGGCAACAGAACCCTCTGTCATTTTCTTCCCCTTTTTAAGGCAATGCAATGAATACGTACTTTGTGAAGCTTCAGTTCGCTCTTCGTGCAGTCTGGGTTTTCTCTCCATAACTTGCGATGAAGTTGGCAGGGTACCGATTTTCACGTAGGGTTGATGCGATACCCTGTAGCTCTTCCTCAATCGTTTCCGTTGAACATATACGGTGGGCTCTCACAAAAGATGCACGGATCTGCTATTGTACGGAACTAAAGGCTAAAATGAGATTTGTGGAACACTTTTTGAGTTGACTAAATCTTGTTTGTCGTGTAAAGTTCTCCGTGTAAATTTCTCCGCAACTTCGTTAAATAAGGATGCAAACACAGCAACAAATCTTGCGTTCCATTACTTCTTAGTCTCGCTGAGTTGACTCGAAGAAACCGAGGGAAATACGTACAAAACGTATCCTAAGTCTTACTAATTCCCCAGCAACTAGAACTCTTGTCCTTGGGTTTCAACTTTTCACTGTCCCTCAGTAATTGGGCCAGAATAAAACTTGAAGCACAGTTTTGCGCCTCTGTAAGAGCAACTTCCAGTTTGACACCGGTGACAGATGATGTCGTTGGATCGTTTGAGTCCAAAGCTGGATATATAGCCAATCAGTTTTATGGTATGAAGCGCGAAAAGTGTCGAATAATTACGCAAGACTATTTCGATTCCTTGATGCAGTTGCTTTCCAATGATGATGTATTAATACTGAGACCTGACAAAGCTTCCGGCGTTGTTGTGATGAACAAACAGGATTACCTACAGAAAATGCAAACTATACTCAGAAAGAAAGTCGATTTGTTAGTGATCTGGCAAGCCTTGATAGAACCGAAAAACTTAAAAAGATGATAACCCGCGAGCTGCGAATTATACACAAAGACGGATTGATCAGTGTCAATACCATGACACAACCACGGCCGCGTGGTTCCAGACTTCCTCGGACGTATGGGTTGCTGAAATTGCATAAAGCATGGGTTCCATTACGTCCAATCCTTTCAGTGTTTGGAGCACTGTAGCAGGAATTGGCACGATGATTAGCCAAGCTAACTGAGCCCATTCTATGGGAGTTGGCGGTGCACAGATTGAGATAATCTTCTGAGTTTGTTGAAATGATTCGGAATCCAAATCTCAGCGGTAAGAGAATGGTAACTTTTGACGTGTGTTCTTCATTTGCAAATGGCCCGTTGGAAGAGACGCTGCAGATCATAGGCAGTTATGCAGGTAGAGTGGAGTTTCCACCACATCGATTGAAGAACTTAATTCGTATCTGTACAAAATATGTTCACTTTTGTTTCAATGGAAGTCTCTATCGGCAGAATGAGGGTGTGGCGATGGGCCGTCCCCTTGGCCCCATTTTGGCTGACATCTTCGTAGCTCATCTATAGAACACCAAATGGTGTCACCATATACAGAAAGCTCACTTGTAGGTTCGATATACTGATGACACCTTTCTGGTGGTTGACGAAACCCAGCAAGCGGAACGCATGCTCAAAAGGTTTAATGAATGTCTTCCTGAGATCGAGTTCAGCATGGAAAGCGGAACAACAGGAAAGTTCCACTTCTTGCAGGTAGCTATGGGAAGAATATCAGATCAATTTATTAAAACAGAGCTGAAGGGGCAATACCTAAACGTCGACAGGTGCTGCCCCAAGAGCTACAAGCGCTCCCTGTTTTGTGCATATTTTGTGAGAGCCCACCGTATATGTTCAACGGAAACGATTGAGGAAGAGCTACAGGGTATCGCATCAACCCTACGTGAAAATCGGTACCCTGCCAACTTCATCGCAATTTATGGGGAGAAAACCCAGACTGCACGAAGAGCGAACTGAAGCTTCACAAAGTACGTATTCATTGCATTGCCTTAAAAAGGGGAAGAAAATGACAGAGGGTTCTGTTGCCACTTACGTCATGCCATAAAGTGGTATTACTATACAGCTGAGCTTGCGTTGCTCCACAGAACCAAATAGCTACTACCTAAATCCAATTTGGACAGGCCTCACTCTAATTTCATTGTCTCATATGTGCACCAGTGTAACTGCATTTGCGGTAACATGTGCATTGGCCGGACAGAGAGGAGACTGTCCACTCGGAATTCAGAACACGTTCCGCGGAACCTTGCTCTCCGTGGCGCAACATTACTTGTTAGCTCTGTTGCCCGGCACCTATTCGATTGTCCGATGTGCCAGAATCTCCACGAAGCATTCAAGGTCATCAACAGACAGAGCAACCCCAAGTTGTTGCGTTTTGCTAAGGCCTTCACCATCCGGCGTTGGAATACTAACCTAAGTAGACAACTTGCGTTTGTGGTCAATCATACTTGGCGTTGGTGAGGCAAGACAGGCTAGCCAACCAACTAACCATCGATTTCTGGTATTGACCTATTACTCCCAATCGTTCAAACTTTTCACCCATTGTATGTAAGCGTTTGATGAGAATACACGAAATGTACTGAATTCCGAATATTCCGCAGAAATGTTCATTGTTCTTGCTCTATTAACATTTTTGAAGGGAATTGATTTTATGACATTTTAATTCAAATATGGTCACAGTAGAATGAATCAAGGAAGCAGATTCTGAGGGTATTTTTCTTTTCGGTAGCTGTTATCATTATAATGACGACGAAATGCTAATTTTACCCTACTGGACTTCGTTTTGTTCATAAGTTTTTTTCCGGCAGGAACAATTCAATGCATCACGTGGTTATTAAATGTGGCAATTTATGTATAGTGTAAATCACAGCAGAGGTTGTAGGTCATGGTAGAGGTGTAGGACGTACAAACAGCTTTTTAAGCACTATTCCAGCTTGAGTTGGTTATGCGTATAGCTTTCACAATAGATAGGAGAGGCTTCCGGAATCCGAGGAAGATACGTTTAGGGATATAAAAATGACTCTGGAATCGTTTTCCGTACCTGCTTGACCGCACTCTAGAAGGTGCGACAGGATGGAGCTCTTACTAGACCTCGCTTCCCCTTTGTCAAATCATCACGGGATGTATTCGGGAATCCTATGAGATAAGCGTCTTGTTGTACTACCCACATTTCGTGCAGCACAGGAGTACGACTATAAACAAGCATTGATCGAGTCCCCGGAGATAGCCTGTCTTTCAAAGGTTTGCGAATAAAAAGCTTTTTGTAGTATACTATGCGTAGGCGAACCGCGAAATAAATCTTTCCAACAGCGCCTTTCAGGCGTTTAGACAGGACATCAGCTGGAATTGTGCGTACAAAAACAGTTTGTACTTCCTTTATTTCTATCGTGGCTTACAACGTCAGCTGTGATTTCCCTTGTATATACTTTATCATCTTCAATGACTCCGCGATTTATTGATTTGTTCCTGTTGGAATCAAACTTCTGATCAATAAGCAGCCCAATCCGGCACATTTAGCACTTTGTCATCATCATGTAATGTTTGAGCCTGATGAGAATTACCGAAAAGAATTCTTTACTGCCTCCCTTGATTTATTCTATTAAATGGGAAATTTGGATTGCTGTACGTCAGTATACTCCGGGATTCAGTCAGTGGCTATAGTAGCCAATAATCCTACTTAATCAAAACGTCTGAAGCCCATGTATAAATTGCATTCTGATCTCTGCCTCTAAAAAATGTACAATTACCAGAAGAGCTGTTATAGTATAGGTTACAACGTATGTGCCGGTGGCAAAGGAAATTATGCAATTCTGCTAAGTGATACGCTTTTTACAGTAGTCCATGTCCTTTTTGTATGCCAAGATTGAGAGATATGTCATCACAGTAATGTTTTAAACGGAGTATTGGCCCGTTTCTGATCGCATTTGTGTTTTCCCTATATACACTGCTGAATTGGGTGCGGCTAGAACTTCCGATACTTTTCAAGTTGTGTTCAATCGTACCCTAATTCACTGACTGCAAGACATCAGACAGAAGGCGTGTGATACTTTGATAGAATTCTCGCTACCATACTACATTTGATTTCCGAGAATTAGTTGACTGGTGACGTCGTCTCGGATATCAATTGCAATTCAGAAGATCCGAAAATGCGTTTAAATAGACTTATGCTTCCTTGAGTAAACTGGTGCGTTTTACCTACAAGTTGTGAGTTGACAAAGTGACAGCATCCCAAATGAATCGATGCTACCTGAAAGTAAGTACGAGAATGTTTCATAATAGTAACTAAGTGTTATGTTTCAATACAAATATACTCGGTGATTGAACCATTTGAGAGGAAATATATGCACTGAGATTGCCACGTAGAACGCAATGCTTAACTGGTCAACCCTCATCAATTTACTCACAAGGTATAGATGTGAATTTAACACCACAGCTGGCAGTCTTAGCAGAGGTATTGAAATATTTACTTAAAATACTTGCTTAAATGATTGCTTAAAAGACTACATTGAAAATTCAACCTTGTGTAACAGGCATAGCTCTTACGCAATATCTCCGCCGCCCTTATCAGCATAATAACTGTATAAATACTTCGTTTACGTACGCAGCATAATGTACTTATGTATTCACATTACTTCAAGCCTGTCACAATTACGTTTAAATAAAACACATTTTCAACATTAATATACCAGTCTCTGCGTTACAGCCACCGAGGTCTTCCTCAAGGGCAATCTGAGCCGAAGCGCCCTTGGACAATTCGCTAACACCTGCAGTTAATTTTATACTGAGCTATATTAATTATATTGCTAAAATTATGGATAGTAAATCAGAAATTGCAACACTACTGTTTCAAGTAAAATAAGGCTACTTTTCCACCAAGTCAATTTTGAGTACGTAGCTGAGTTTATAGATCGGTTACTATCTCCCAGGTAGTATATGGATTAAAATTCGTTGAGTATCAGGTGGCTACACATATATTATTTCTCAGTGTAAATCATGAGACTATTACGGAGAATACGGAACATCACTTACGTCCAGTTGGTTTGGTAAGCAAGTATCCCGACAGTCTTTGCCATCGTGACATGTTCCACGCCCAGAAAGTGACGAAATCTACTTTGTTACTAGATCAGTAATACACAATTAGTTCCGGGCATTGCATTAGGTTACATCGATAGAACGTGTTTTAGTGTGCTAATGTGAGTGTGGGCGCGATCTTATTTATTGACTCCACTTACGGAGATGCGCACCTGCACAACACAGCACACATGTGCTCACGTTGGATCGATCGAACGTACACGTGACTCAGTAGTTACTTATTACAACTTAAGGTGGTGAAGACAGGTAAGTTCACTATTACTGGTTCTTGAATGAACCACCAATTGTAACGTGCAAAATGTAATTCCAATGGAATACAGTGTTAAAGTATTGTGTTCACGGCACAACTTGCAATGAACCAGCGCTTCGATCTAGCGGAGTACAACTGGTGTAGGGTGGTTTTCATCTACTCAATGAACTTTGGTTGTCACAAGACAAACCTACTCATATGTGGCAGTTTGCGCTCACCAATATCCGCACCTTTTCAGTTTGAATAAAACCACAATGCATGTAATCGCTGCTGTTTCTTGGGCTTAAGTTGAGAGTCAGTTGCTCTGCATTCCAAAAAATGTCCCTTTTCTCTTGGACCAGAGTCAATCATTCAACACAAATTCTTATGTTTGTTTACATTGGATGAAAACTCCGCAAACACAAAAACATTGCTAGAGGATTTGGGAACTGACAGCTAAGGGATTTGTCTTCACCGAATATCTCAACTCATATTCTCTTGCCACAGTCTTGTTGTCTAACGGCGACCGTCACATTTCACGTTAACTGTTTATTGCAGATCGTCTACTTGACAGCAGCTCCTCAGGACACGTGCGCCTCCCGATCTGTTCAACATTTGTTATAACTTAATCGAACATGTCCCGCTGTTCGTAATCGCCACCTTCGTTGCTAAAGCAGAAGTAGCTGTGAGTTGAGGTCCGGTTCCATTACATCTTTTAGCAACTTACTGTTAATTTCTCTTATGTTTTCCTAACATCGACGTAGCTTCACTTACCTACGTTAACCCCGTTAATCTATCTTAGAGCCCCAGTAGTTACAGTTCTTATCTTCTGCTGTATCCAAAATATACACATTTGAACACCGTGGATATGTCGATGGGTTTATTCCAGACTATATTTTGCAAAAACGTTTTCTTCTGATCAATTGAAATTTCGTGAGCTACATTATGTACGTCCGTCCCGCGATGTTTATTTTAATACCAACACGAGACATTTTAATTACTTGCAAACTTTATTTCCTAATGTTTTTCTACTGTTCTGGTCACTGATATTTTTATTGTACTGGAATCAGGTTCATGGCACAGTTCTAACATACTCATGTCCATTTCTCCCAATCCAGTTGTTGGTAGCCTTATTGAGTTCCCTTTTTGTTTTGCTCTCTGCAGTGATGCAAATTGCTTAGGATCTATCGTATCGATATAGGCGAAATAAGAAGATCCGGCACTGTTTTATTCAGAAGTGTCAAAATCAGGCAAAAATGGGACTTACAAAATCGACCGATGTTCTCCACTACTGGAATATGTGAGCACAGCTTGTAGCCATCTGCAGTGGTGTACCCTTTACTATCTTCGATAGATGTGCACTACACATTTTTGTTCCGTCGAATAATGGAACAATGGAACAATGGTTTATTACAGGTAAACAGCTTTGCTTAACAAGTCCCGAAGGATGGAAATTATTGCGAAAACCGATTGCATAATAAAGTGAAAAGCGTCGTGGTGGACTCACCATAGACTTATGTGGAATAGCGGAGATGTTCGCGTATTAAACGTATAAATCCATCAGTCCATTGGTTAGGCGTTTGGCAAGAAACCGTTTGATTACGTTTTGTAGCCCCTGGCTAACAAGTCATAAAATGAAATGTAAGTGAGACAATGCATCGTCAACACGTTTTTTACAAATCGCAGAGACGACATTATTAGGGGGGCGTTCCAAGGCTGGCACACGCGGAGGGAAAAGAAATCTCTACGGCATTCAAGCCGGCTATACTGAAATTGCCAGTTTCAGAAGGTGACCTCTTTGTTTAGTGTTGTGGTTCAATTCCAGCAGCGGACGGCAAATGTGGTTTGGGTTTTGGTAAACCATTATGAGATACTCCAGCGAAAGCCGATATCGACTGCTGTAGATTCTTAGAGATTTCAGTCTAAGCTGATAGGGCGGATGAAAGAGGCCCCTGACATTCTTGGTTGCACTTCGTTGAGGAATCTCGAGAGCAACGAGATCCTGTTTCTGTCACGGCTGCCACGCCTGAATAGCATATTCCACGTGCGGTCGCACGTAGGTTTTGAGCATTTGGAGAAAGCTTGAGGGTTCAAACCGAACGAAAGCTCTCGGGAGAAGGCCGAAGGGTTGATTGTTAGTTCTTGTCGCCTTCTCTGCTTGTTTTGAACACCCGAGATCTTCCTGCCCTAGTTACTCTGAGCCCGTTAAGCCTAAAGCATGCGCACTGTGAGCAAGCCTAATCATGAGAGTTCTGTTTAGAATTATCGAGAAACAGTCACTATCATTTATTTTCCCAAGCTGGCTTGAATGCTGCTTGATGAGGTTAAACTTAAGTGAACACAACTTATGTGATTCTGATGCCCGCAGTTATCGCCTCCTCACTTGTAATCATACCAAAAGAGGAGCTTCAGGAATATCAAGATATCCATACAGTGGGTCGAAACGTAGCAAACTACTGCATCAGGTACTGTAACGACGGCAACAATTTACTTTACACACAGCCATGTAGAATCAACCTTCATGCACACGAAAAGAGGAACGCAGCATTAAGAAATAAAATTTCTGGGCAAGAAAATCTATATTGAGCCGCTTAAACCACGTACTCCCTGCCTTTTTAACCTAACCGCTTGCTGGGCTTTAGTGCTAATGACGGCATTGCAGAAAGCATGACCGTTGTCACTACTAAGGACTGGACAGATGCTCTCACTGTAATATGTAGATAGACATACTCTGCTAACTACATTGGCGAGTTTAAATCCAAAATAAAAATCCCAGTAGTCAATTGTAAAATATCACTCGTGAAAACGTGTGAAAAGCTGACTGAAACAGTACAGCAAATGGCGAGCTTCAGGGCTTTGCCATTAGAATCTAACAACCCCGAACGTGTTGTATAGCAAACCCCTCAGGGCTTGCTCCCTAAGTCGAAGTCTTACTAACCGCCCAACAGCATCAGCACTACCTACTCCGACAATAACTAACCTTTTAAGTAGACAAACACATCCTCCGTGACTGCTATTAACTTATCCCTGGATGCCATATTTCACGAGTTGGTCACAACACCGACAGTCAAGAGCTGGGTAACATACGCGTCGGTAGCTTGGATAAAAGTTCAAAGAGGCACCCGTACGTCCAATTTCTGGACTATGCAGGAGCGATGCAACACCGTTTTTACAACATTCTTTAGTGCCCGCTAATCAATCCAAGTTACCAGCCGCAACACACAAACCGGCATTCGCTAAACAGAACCGCAGTGCGTTAATGGTCGTGTGCACTAACTTTCCTGAGTCCAGCTCCGGCACAACAAAGGTCAACTTGGTGGATGATCGCAACCGGTGGAATTCCATCTGTGATGCGATTGGTATTCGGGTTGAGCAAACTGCACTACGAATAACCCGGACTTCTTCGGGTAACATTGAACTCAATTGAGGAGACAGAGACAGTCCAACTCTCAACAGTTCATCTTCGCAACTCATCGCACGGGATACGCATACTACAAGTCATGGCTTAGAAATGGCGGTCAAAGAAAAAAGAAAATCATGGCGGTCCGTCTACGAACGAAAGCAAGAAAACCGTATCTGTTCATGGGGCTCCAGCATTTCTGGGCACTTCTGATCACGAAGAACAAAAACATGACCGAGTGTAATGGAGCTACATCTGCGAAACACTCTCTCTGGACGACGTTATTGTTAAATTACTAATGAGAATTCCATTGCCACCAAACTACAACGGCTGCTGTCCAGAAATATCGAAATTCATGCTACACTCCGAAGGAATGACAGAAATCCTGTTGGGTAGTTGATTGAAGAATCGCTCCAGGTTACCTGCGGTAATTAGGCCAAAGACAGCAGGCGCAAGGCCACTATTTGTCAGCACTGCATTGGAACATGAAACTTTAGTAAACTATTTTCCCCCACAATTCTGCAGAGTGGTAGACAATATGGCATTCGCGACAGCTGACGGAACACGGTAACACGTGAGAACATCTCGATCTGGGATGCTCCGTGCTACCATGCGGTTTGCCTGAAATTCAAGAACAAATGACCCAAGCAAAAATCGATTAGAGGCCGACAGACGAAGTGTCGGCTTTTAACTAGCACGAATTTGTTGTCCGCGTACACACTTCTAGCATCAAAAACAGTATCATGTTTATACACTAACGCTCAAGGTCATCTTAGTAACTAGGCCGAACTTAGAGAACACCAAGGGTTACAACCGCGGGATCTCATTATGATTACGGAGACCTGGTTACGCCTTGAGATAACAGATTCTGAAGTCAATTTCCCTGGTATGGCACGGCTTCGGAATGACAGATCTGGAAGAGGTGGTGGCGTAGTTCTGTATTACAAGGGTAACCTCCGATGCGAACTTAGTGGCCACGCAGAGAGTTGTGCCAGTTATGGTTGCGGAACAAAACACATGCATTATAGCTGTGATTTACCGTCCACCAAACTCTAGGTGTGAAATAGACTATAAACTAAACCACCTTCTTCAGATTATTCTAAAGAAGTTATTCGGTCACATTCTCATCGCAGGCGACTTTCATGTGTACGATCTGGAAATATCGGCGACCGATAGCATGCAGCTTAAAGCCTGTTTCCAAGATGTTATTTCAAGCTATCCTGTGTACAACCATGTGGCTTTTCCCACCAGATTTTGAAATGCTAACTTAATCTTTCACTCACCACTGAAGAACTCATGGTCGACGGATTAATTACAAGTACACCACTGAATAGCAGTGACCATGGGGCTCTACTGTTTAACTATGTGTTATATAGAACATGCTGCGGCAGATAATGACAAAGTGCATCCGGTCACGCACTACAACTCATTATCCACGCTTGTTAAGGTGGTAT